AGCACTGTCTCAGGGCAAGCTGAAAACAATTTATTCTTGAGAAATAGCTGTAGAAAACATTACAACAGCATTACAAAGCTAAACAAATAATTGAACATTAATCTCCACAGTGTCACTAAACTGGGAGCTATCTGATTATATAGGGATGCTCAATGCTTTTATGTGCATATAATGAAAAACAATATATAATCATGCCAAAGATTTGAATTCTAAGGCATTGAAAGAGTTAAATGTAGCTAGTTTGTCATGCTCAACACAGCTTCCTGTATCCAACACTTTCCTGTTGATCTGAAGTAAATTACAAAAGATATCACTGAAATGATCCAAATGAGATTTAGTTGTTACTCGTCATAGTGGAAAAACAAGACAAGAACATACCTGACTATTCATTATCAAAAATAAATAAAATATGAGTAATGTAGAAGCATCTACATGATCCAAACCGATCTCCTGATGGTAATTAAGTGATGTATATCTTAGTAGGTTCCCAGTTTTCTTCACCGCAGCAAAGCACTTAAAGCTGAATCTCTCCATACTCAACTACATCTGATGATAATTACTCGGTCTCCTTGACAAAATCAATTTCTTTTTACTTAATCATTAGATTTATATGCCAAAATTTTATCCAACCTTAACTGGAAACAGTTGCTGTTTCCAGATGAAATTACTCTTCTTCCACCAAAGAAAATACAGGTACCCCCTTGCCGTTGAAGCTTGAACACTTGACTTGGAGCTCTTCTCCCAACTCAAACTCCGTTCTTCCATTAACCTGCAGAAGAGAGTAGATCAGTTTACCACAACAATTCTCTTTTCCCTTTTTGACTAGTATAACACGATTTTCACTTTTGATACACAACTTTGGTTCAGGCACAATCTACTCTGATTTTAATTTTTTTTTGAACTCTTAAAAGAGTCGAAGATGTTCATCCGGGGTCTATTCACACCAATAGAACTACAGGGGGTCTATCTGCAACTCGCGATAGTGCAAGGGGTCTATCCACAGTTAACCATTTTTTATATAGCAGAATCATGCAAGTTTGTTAATAGTTGCGCCGCATCTTGCTAAGAGTAAACTGATTATCTCAAGTTCTTGCGACATTCAGAACAGACATAATAAATTGTATATAGCAAAGTCAATATTGAGGACATCACAAATTTTGCATGAAGTTACTTCGACATAAAATAAACAATCTAGTCAGATATGAAAACTCAATGACTTAGAGAGAACAAATACACACAAAAAAAAAACAATTTATGAATGCAATACACACAAAAAGCAGCGATAAGACATAAAATTCATATTTAGCGAAAAACTTTGCTGAGAGGATACCTCAAATTTATACATTCCCCGCAATCCTCCACCTATCTCAAGTACCAACCCATGTGTACGTTTTTGGTGTACAGTTGCCGTTACTCTGTCTCCCAACTTTAAAGAACGGGCCTGGACTTTTGTTGTGTTGACAGTTTTAGGCTTATCATTTGTTCCAACTTTCTTCGTCAACACACTAAACATAGTTTCAAGATCAAATTTGTCACTTTCTTTTGTACATCTGTTGGTAGCCCGGGTTTCCTTGTCTTTCCTAATGGAATTACCATCACTAGAGATAGGAAATTTCCTAATATTCTTCTGCTGTAACGGATCATAAGGCCTTGGAGACTTTGCACCTTTTCCAGACCTCGGGACTATTTTCTTCTCACTAGAAGTGTCCTGTGAATCACATTCTGAACTACTCCGAATTACAAACGAAGGTGTTGATGTTATGAAAGAGTCATCATCTTCACTTTGTTCTTTGTTAGTCGGTGCCTCATCAAGTGCCTCTTCAGAGGTAAAAACACTAGTTGCTGGTTTCGTAGGAAATATAGAGCCTTGGTGTTCCGAACTCGTTTTCTTTGAACCACCACCTTTCAGAATAGCTTTTGAAGAAAGTTTAATGTTACCCCTGATATCATTCTCAATGCACATTAATGATAACTCTTGTCCCACAGATACAACATCAGAGACTTTAGATACCTAGAGAAGAGAAATTAATGCAGATCAGGTGTGAAATAAATTGCAATGCCTAGAGATATTCCCCCCATATACTGCAGAAATCTCGATCAGCCATTCAGGGTAGTACTTACTTGGTCATGTGACAATTCAGAAATGTGAAGAAGACCTTGTTGACCGCCGCCTAAATCCACAAAAGCACCATACTCTTTGACTGATGTAATGACACCTTTATATATCTTGCCAACTTCAATCTCCCGTCCAACAAGAAAGTCAATCTGCGGCAAAATCAAACAATAATTGTTATTCTTCCTAAACCATGTAGAGAAAATATACACTTGTACATAACAGAACAATAACAATTTTCCTTGAAATTCATCTCATCAATTAATATAAACTTGTGATGAGCTGTGTTACCTAGGTACTTCTATCATAAAGCCATACCCGTACCCAACATGTACCTGACACATTGTCATAGTGAAACTTCATGGACATTCCTTGGATACCTGCATACATTTATTCAAACATGTACTCGATGATATGATAAATGTTTTAATTTAAAACACTTATCATACACTTCTTAGACGTTATCCTACCCTTCACATCCATTCCTCGAAACTCGTTAGACATAGATTGGGTTTGTTTCAGCCCTTACACAAGTTCAAACTATGATTTTAAAGAGTTGTTTGAGTGTCTAGTTCAAAAACGAGTTGTTTTACAACAAAAATTTAAAGATGTGATAGAAATTTTAGTTCTAATAACATGTTTTGCAACAACTTTTCATCGACGTTGTTCAGGCATGGGATCAAGGTTGTAGAAAGCGGAAAGCAGCACGAACTGGTGAGGCACCGCTTAGGATTTGGGCATTTAGCAACAAAAAACTTCAAGTAAAAATGTAGTCTAGTTTAAATATGTATAAATATATTGGAGGAGAGAACGGACTAAAAGGATGAAGTGGCTTCAACCGGAAAAGAAGGTCGAGGAGCTTCAACTGGAGATGGTGATGGTGAACTTCAATGAGCTCAAGAGGAGATGTTGTGATGGTGATGGTGCAAGCGGAGCTTGCTCGATAAGGTTTTGGAGGCGGATTTGGTGGTGAGAGGCAGTGGAGTCAGTCAGAGGCAAGGCGGCTGGAGTGAGATTTAGGGTTAGCATTTATTATAGTCACGGAAGCGGGAAGGAGAGAGAGAAAAGCAGAGGGTTGTACTTTAGAAAATTGGTCAGGTTCCGATTTCAGTCGGGTATAATGTATGTATTTGTCTTTTTCAAAGCGTTGTTAAGTGCTTGAAAGTGTTTTTAAGTGCTAAATAGCGCTTTTACAAGCTTTCTACCACGTTTTCAAGCAGAAAATGCCATGTCTGCTTTTATTGGCCGCTTTTAACAAAAGCATAGCGGTGAGACACTGCTTCTGCCGTGCTTCTGCCTTGCGGACTGCTTAGGGGGCCAAAACCAGGGCTTTTTTCAACACTGCATGGAATTCAATTGGGGTTTTGCCACATATACAAATGCGGATCCTTAAAGTCATTTTACCTCTTTCTTCTCTTAACTAACCTGGGAGAGTTGGGAGC